ACTGTATTAACGAAGGCTTTGGCAGAGTAAATGGATGGCCCGCTCTGACCGGAAAATATTTGGGAATATAATTTTCTACGGTTTTGCACAATTTTTGTGCTAATTTAATGAAGCAACGTTATACATTGTCAATATACTATATATCAATTTACATGTTATGTAATTAAGTGTAACCAAGCTGGATGTCAAGAGAAAAGGGCCGGGAGCTTGCAAGGTTGAGCTAGACTCCCCAAGGTGTGACATGTACTAGGTACTTAATACCCTATTCTTAGAGCTATACGCATTTTATTTTCGTTCTGATAACTGTGTTCTTGTTTAATATAGTGTCATGGACAACCATACAGCATAATGTTTATACATTTTGACTTACTTACCTACCCTACACTGGAACAAAGTATTCTGCATTCTCATGGTCAATACTGTCATTGGTTCTTCACATTTGGACACAAGTTTTATCCAAGTACAGTATTCTTCTGAAGAAAAGTATTTTCCGTGAGTTTGAACATGAAAAAGTGGTTTGTTGTTTAATAAATACTAAATGACAGATCATCCTCATTTCTGATAAATTATCGAATAGATTCCAAGGTTTGTATGGTAATTTACAAGCATTGAAAAGTGACATTCAAAATTCCCCTCTAAATAAATAAACTTTTATATTTTTCAACACCAATCCGAAGATACTAATCAAGCTATTATACTGGAAAAGTCGCCTAACATTTTTAACGATTGAAAATGCTTACAAATCAAGAAATTTTATTCACAGGCGTATCACAAAACACCGAAATCCAAGGAAAAATCCGCATGTAACTAAAATATAATGACATAAAAGAGTACGATATGAATCACTGCAACGAACTGATAATTATTCTTGGATACAAGTAACTGCGAACTAATGATTACCTAGATAATATTTTTTTTGTGTGAATGCGTATAGTTTATGCGAGATTAGACCGAACCGAATCCCAGTTTAGGTTTTGTCTGCTTGTCCACCCGAAGTGCAGAAACCGTGGACCAGACGCGTTGTGAGCATTCCTCCCCCAGCCCCGGCCACCGGAAAGCGAGTTGGCCCGTGCCTTCGCGGTTCAACAATATTAACTGCAGCGGCAGATGGCGCTGGCACGAGGAGACGCGGGTCCACCGCCGCGCCGCGCCGTGCTGCCCCACGCAGCCCGTTAACTCAGGCGCAGCACCGGGCCCGCGTCTTCCCAGCGAGGCAGGGTGAGTGTTTCGCGTGTTTTTGTTGTGGTAAATGTGGATGCGGATATAAATTATTGCGGTGTAGTTAATCTGACTTAAATCAAGGGGAATATGTCGGGGGAAGTCTGTTCAGAAGAAAATAATGAAATGAAGATAATGAAAAAATATGAAAAGTTTAAAACATAAAGAAACAAAAATGTGTACTTGGGCAACATATAAGTAAAACAGAAATAAAAACTTTCATAATATAAAATTAGTTTTCGTACAACAGGACACATTTTCCCGTAATATTTGTAACGATAAGGGGACATTATAATATTGCCAATTGTATCTTACTAATTCTTTGGTCTTCTAGTGAAACACTCACTTAAGCAAAAGAATTGCGGGAGAATCCAATTTGGAAGTTTAGAAGATTTTCGATTTCAGAAATATCTCAGTTTCACTGCAAAACTGACTTATATCATATTTACAAGCGAACATTGTTCATGGAAAATATTTAAAGAACAAAATATTTCCCCTGGGAATCGAATGACCTTAAGAGTTGTAAGATAGAGCGATAATCACTTGCTAATATAATTTATTATTACTTAATACGCAAGCGAATTATCAAAAATTTGAAGTAATTACTGAAAGTAAATCCTGTCCCATTTTATAAACGTAACATACCATTTCCAATAAAAGAATTTTTTTTAAATAGAACTATAATTTTGAAAATGTACTGGCGTAGTGTGAAGTAACTCACAAGTTTAAACCATACGTTTCAAATTCTTGGGGGTGCATCATCATTTGGTCGGGGAATATCCATTTTTACTTTCCTGTATACGTACGTAAATACGTAGCATAGGGAAAGTGATGTTATGCTGCGGAAAATCGATTTCGAGATGTCGACGGAAATACACTTTTGAGGTCCTCTGATACCGAATAAGTGTTTTTTTCAAAACGTCTATCTGTCTGTCCGTCAGACTGGTGTCTGTGAGCACTACTGGCATCTAAACCATGCATAGGATATTTTTCCAAATTGAAGAAATCTCTTTGCATCTGGCTTGAGTCGAAACTTTGAGGTTTTGAAAAACAGTCTTCAAAATTTGGGAGCACTTTATAAGAAAACACTCCAAACATTTTCAAAATTTTCTCAAAATACGCTCCAAATTTTGTCCTTAAATTCCTGTAATACACACTTATAAACATGGCATAGAAGAGGCTTTCACGGTTAACTCTGAATTTTCGAAAATATCAAAAGTATGATATATCTTCCTACAACTACAAAATTAAAGATAGAGATTTTTCCTTCAAATAAAATATTTTCTCCATTGTGAGTTCTTGCATTAAGGTCATGTGCATGTTTTTGAAAATGTTCGCAGAATATTGCATTTTTATATTAGCGATTTTTTAAAATTCACTAAAACAAGATTTTCTCAAGTATGGTTCTCATTTTTTTCTTTAAACTTTTGGCAGGGATAGTGCTATATGTACTCTATAATTGACATAAATATCGTATTGCTCTGTTATTTTGTTTTTTCAAAAATTACAAAAAATTAATTTTTTTGACTTATATCATGCAGTTAATACTTATATAACGGCAATTTGTTCACATTATTGTATTTATGAGTACATGTGCTGTAAATAATTTCATATAAAGTTTCTCGAAAACTCTACCGTTTTCTATGAAAACTAACTCAAAATTCCGCGTTTTCAGAAACGCTCAAACGCCATATTCTCAAAAACGGATACACATTTCTTCTTCAAACATTCCGAACGTATATTAATTATTCCACTCTTTAATACGACGTAAAGTTCATTTCGGTGTAATTTTTTCTTTTTTCCATAATTACCCAAAGTCAAGGTTTTGAAAGATCTCTCACGCTGTTGATGCGCACATTTTCAGCAATTTGTGAACACTATTGTATTTGTGAGTTAAATAACTTAAAATGACTTCAAATGATGATTTTCTGAAACTCAATCATTTTCTGTGAAAAAAGCTTCAAATTTCGAATTTACAGTAGCACTTAAAAGCCAGTGTTTTAAAAACGGCTCCAAATTTTTTGAAGAAAATGCTTTTTAGAGATAGTACTGTTCTCTAATAATATTAAAAAAGAACATTTCCGCTCTACAATTAGAAACCCGAAAAATTAAGAAAATATTTTAAAAAAATGTACTTTGGGTGGCAATAGATGGCGGCAAGAGTACGTGACAAACCGAGACCAAAGCAAATAGAACACTAATACAGGAAAGTCTGTACCATTCTGTAGTACCACTAGTTTGAAAATACTATGAGCGTTAGTATTGTTGCTAGCTGCACAGGTCACGGCCTTCTAGAGTCGGAATTACTAAAGTCAGAAACTAGTTCATGTTTTGAGGAAGAAGCTGAGCTATAAGATCACATAATTTCTTGTTTCAGGGCCAATCGTTTCGTAACATTTTACATCTAAACTACTTACACTTCAGCTATCACTTGAAAACTCAAACAATGTAACTCAAAATTATTCGAAAACTTTCCATAATTAGGAAAATATGTACACGGAAGTATTAGAGATATAACATTGAGAAATAAGTTACAAATATAATCAAATAGTTTTTATATTGAAGGAGTAGGAATGGTCTAAAAACGTTTGAATCTTACCCATTAACTAAAACATAATTTTATGCTCATAGTGCTCGCGTTCAACCCAAATCAATGCGAAAAACAATATTTTGAAAACACTGTTGAAGAAATGATTTAAATACCTTATGTTGAAAAGGAAGTGCCACGAAGTAAACATAGATTGTAGTATACAATCTATAAGATAATGTAGTTGATGTATGTATTTACGTAAAAATCTCGTAACCAAAACATGTATTTACGTCAAAATCTCGACAAAGGTGTTTCGCAGCATTCTGAATACTTCTAATACCAGATAGTAATTTCATTAAGCTCGTTGCAATTTTATATTTTGTTGTTACTGTAATTCTAAATCAATTCCTCATTCTCACGTTTAGAGTATCAAACTTAGAATCGAACTTTATCCATATCACGGCACATTTCCATTCTCTAGCTTCCAAAATTCATTCGTGCTCCGTCGGAATGTGTAAAGTGAATGTGAACCGGAATGTGTGTAGTAAGTATTAAAGTATTTAAAAGAGTAGTGAGGAAATAACACCGCAGTAATATTTTTATTGATTTTCTTAACAATCATATTGATATTGTCGCTGTTTACCAAAGACTTTAGAAACATTAAAAAGCTCAAACATAGGCAGCTGAAACTTTTCTTCAGATACATATGGTTTTATCTCCATTTCTTCATTACCTTTGGAATCTTTGGAACGTTTATCGAATATTATCCACTAGTAATAATATTTTAGTATCTTGTCAAAATGAATGTCAATTTCATTATATTACTTTCTTAAAAAGTGTGTTTTCAAACTAGGAAGAGTATTTGTAATAACCTTGATCAGTAGCAATATGTGTTACAGAGTTATGAACAAATGTAAATACCAGAGATGATAGCTGAAATAGAATTGGGAATGTGAAATAAAACACACTGCACTGCATGCATTTACAAGGTTCCACTACAGTTGAGAATTTATTGATGTACACGAACACTGAATTATGATACACTGGATCACAAACAAGACGATTTTTCCAATTAATTTGAAGGGCGAAGAGCGCAACGAAGACGCCCAATGGGCGAGGGCGGCCTACGGGCGCCGGGGCGCCTCCCGCCCGCGCCCACGCCAGACCCACGCCCGCCACCCACGCCCACACCCAACACAGGGGTCGAAAAGCCTGCAATTTCGGTTGAATGCGGACCGGAGAGGCGACATTTAGCGTTGGGGGCGGCGTGTTGGTTTCTCGCTACCCTGAACGGACGGACTAGCCCGCCAGCGGGTGGGCGACGGCGGGGGCGGGCGGGCGTAGTGGGCGAGCGGGCAGGGCGGGGGCGGCGCCAGCCGGTAGGGCGCGGCGGGGCGGGCGGGGCGGGGAAGGGCGGCGGTCGGGTCCGCTGTCTCCTCATCTCCGCCTGGAGAAACGCCGCCACAGCTTCTCGTGCTGGCTTCCTCCTGCAACAGCACCACCGGGTGAGTCACCGCTGTTGTCGTTGGTCAATCATTCTACAAGGTTATAATAAATAATTCATCGGATTTAAAAAATATAATATATATATATATATTTCAGAAGCTATTACCATTATATTTATAAGTCGTATTACATCGATAGAATTGCATACTCTCTAAGTTTTCGCCAGGCTGTATTAATTACCTTGTTTTATTATTTCAATGAATTGTTTGTTTTAATTTTTTATATTTGTACCTCTTTTTGTTGATTGAAATGCCAGCTGAGCATGCGTTCATTTGCAGTAATAGATTATAATAATATTATTTTTATTATTATTATTATTATTTTGTTATTTATTATAATTTTATTATTATATCGATTTTGATCCACGAATAGCAGCACTACACCAGTTTCCCAAGTGATGCGTTTATAGCAGGAAGCGTATGGAATATGGCATTTGTTATATTGCCACAACTTAAAGGCTATTCAAAAGTTTCATATTTTAACAAAATGATTCTCCTCAGCAGTGCCACACAGATGTGCGGCGTTTCCTTAATAAGGAACTTGTTCTTCCATGAATCGGAATATGTGCTGATGACAACTTGGTGCTGTTAAAATTTAGTCACTCAACCTTAGAGTACCTGCTTTTCTCTGCAGAAAGTATGCTAAAGACATTGATTACAGCCTCCATTGCCAACAACAGTAAAGGAACTGAAGTATCGCGTTGTTAGTGTTCTGATGACCGATTCTGAAGAAATGCTACAACGGGTTTGAGCGAAATTGTCGCAAAGATGATTTTAGTGTGACGAAAGGAGGACGTATTTAACATTTACGGCAAGACGACAAAACCTTGGAGGTATTGAAGTTCTATCAATGTATCACTTGTTATGTATTGTGTAATAGTTTCTGAAATTCAAATCTTTAAAAGCCGTTGAACCATTTGTAATAACACTGTACATTACATGAAACTTCTGTTGAGTGCTTGGCAAAATTTCTCTTGAAAATAAATTCATGAATATTTATTGCTTCTTGGTTAGATCGACTGATTCATTAAAAGGACTCTTATATTGAATTGTTTGACTCTATAAAATGTAATCTTGACAGTGCTAGTAGTTTTGCTCCTTAAAAAATACTCAATTTCGGCCTGTCGCTCTTTGTCCGCGGTTTGTATTAATCTTGCATGATTTTGAATTTGTCATTTCATTTTTACTTTAATAAAAGTAAATTATTTTAATATTAGATTTTACATTTTTAACATCGTATTAATAAACCCTGCGATCGACTTACAATGATATGAAAATGTTACGTTGTGGTTCAGGGAAAAAAGGGAATACTTTTAAAGAAGCTTTTTAAAGGGAATCTTCTAATGAAAGTCCTCCTACGAATTCCATCCACAAGAATAATGGTTTAGATATTCTTTTGAATTGCTAATAATCTCGCCCGACATTGCTACTACTGTTTAGGTTCATGACGAAAAAGTTAATTACTTTTCTTTTCCAAGCAGAAGGACCGCAAACAACTGTTGTTTTCTCGAGTCTTAATTACTTCAAAATGTCAAAAGGCTTATTACAAAGATTTGAAAGTTTGTTTTTCCGGACTGTGAGATCTATTAATAATAGGAGAACACAAACAAAATGACTTGTTGAACTTTTCTTCATAGTTTGAACTACAGGTAAAAAGACAGACTTTCCACAGACTCATCAATAAAAATAACGTGAAGCCATTTGTAAAAACACTGTCATCACGAAGCGTCACCTAGCGACAGTGTGAGAAAGGCCGACGCTCAAGTGTCAGCAGCTTTTGAATAATTCCACTCCAAAATAAAGCTGAGAAGGCATTTGTCTCAAAGAAATTAAATGCCCTCTTTCATTTAGCGAGGGCTCTTGAAGATGCATTTAACAGCCGACCCTCTTTTACGTGACTCGACTTGAGCTCTGGAATGCGCGCGGGAGGGAAGTAGGGGCAAGACCTCGTCGATGGCAGGGGTTGTCGCTGACAAGTATAAACGAAAGCGAGGGACCAGGGACTCATTCGCTTCTTCAGCTAGAGGGCATCTAGTATAAGCATTCGGTTAACTCTTACATGGGCCGAGAGTATAAGACGTTATATTGCAAGGCAGGTCAAATTGAAATATATTTTCCCCCGATTTCTGCTGCTGTAATGTTTTATTTCGTTTATTTTAAAACGATTTATCAACTTCGCTGTGCGTTATTCAAATAATTTGCAATCTGAATGTTACTAACACATATTTGGATTATTACAAAATGTGGTTATTAGCATCTGCTTAAATCCTGATACATCCCAAATCAATGTTCTGTTCATATTGAAAATGCCTAGATCTACGTAAAATACTTTATTTTTAATTGAAAAGCAATGCTGTGTATGAAACGAAGTGTCGTAGAAATATCATAATGATAATATTAAATAATTTCCTAGAAGATTAAAATTTTAATGGTTGAAGCAATATTAATGTAGTCTGATCAACATGCTCGAGCAATGAATGAAAATTATGTATTGATGGAATTCGTGTATTAATAAAATGAAGAAATGTGTGGTTACATTCTCTTCAAACCGTAAAACTTAAAGGCTGCTTCACACATTCAGCATTCAGCAAGTAACGACCGAGTGTTTACCCAATCCCAAGTAACCGAAGTGATCAGGGAGTGTTCACTTCGCTTGATGTGTTAAAAAGACCGCCAGAGTGTAGGTAAGATGAGCATCGAACGCTTGGTACTCGGCAAAGAGCAAGCAAACCGTACACATTACTCTGGATTCGCGTTTCGGTCACTCGGCATTGGATTGTGTGAAGTCACCTTTAGGTTTTGTGAGATGTGTACGATTTTACTTCAAATTTTATAGGGTATTTAACAAATCGTTTTATTGAATTGTCAAAAATGTCTTTAATGTTAATTTTGAGTTGATATGGAATGAATTAATTACAAAACTTCTGTTGTCTAAACGTTTAAAGGGAGTTGGTCTTTAGAGAGAAGAAAAAATAACTAATCGATTTACTCACGTCGTTTTGACAATAACCGTCAATATACATGCATATGCATTTTAATGGTGAATGAGTTGACGAAAAATGAACGCGATTTTATAAGTTATATTTTCCATAATTACTTCAAGTGACTTTCAAAAACTTTAATACCTGACATCATCATTTATGTACCTTTAATATTTAAGAGTATAAAAACAGAAAACGGTTATGAAAGAGGCTCGGGTTCTTTGAAACCGAGCTCGCAACGCAAAACAATGGGCCCCCGGCGGCAGGCGTTGCGCACGGGGCTGGGCACGTAACGCGGCGCCGAGCGGGTGTCGGCAGGGGGCGAAGCGGCGCCGCCCGCGCGGAAAGCGCTACTCACCAGCGAGTCGTCGGAGAAGGGGCGAGCCTCGGTGCGCTTGCCGAACCTGCAACAGAGGCGAGGGCGGCGCTGTCAGAGCCACGCGCCGCGCGCGCGCACGCCCGCCCGCCCGCCCGCCGCGCGCGGGGGCGGGGGCGGCAGCTGGCAGGGAGCGGAACGGACTCGCTCACACTACTCGCAATGGGAAATCGTCATGATGGCACTGACCGATGCCAAGGAGTGGGTCGCCATGGGAGGCTCATGGATGTAAAGGGGATGTAGTGTCAAATTGTGTGTATTAGCTGTGCTTAGATGGCAAAATGTTACAAGTCACTTTTTTAAAAACTTCCGTGTCAGCAATTCTAAGCATAAACATGTCATGAAAAATTACTATGTGGCTTTGTGTCTAATTAAAATTTGCCACCATTGTTGTTTTTTTCCACAAACTACAAGAGAAATACACCTTTTGCCTACTTCTAAACATTAACACACAAGAGTGACTTATGTCATTTTGTGTCTCGTGTCATGAAAAAGTAATTCATATTATTTTGCCATCTTAGCACACAGTTGGTCATATTGTTTTACACTCAAGACCTATGTAATTACGTACGTAAAGTTGATTACAGAGAGTTAGTTAATGAGAGCGTCTACCCCAAATATGTTCTAAACCTTTAATGGTACTGATATGTTATTTTTACGGAATTATGCAGCACAGAAGGCGGCTATGTAATAATTTCTTTTTTTGGAAGCATTTATTTAAAAATTATTCAGCAAATTTTGTTCCTTTGACTGTAACACTATATTTTTTGTAGATGAACCTTGAGAAGATAAATCCATCACTATATAAATGTATATATTTGAAGAATAGTTAATAGCAAATTAAATGTTATGAAATCCAGGATGCTTGAAGACTTGAAAGTTCAAAGTTCGACTAGAGGTAGCATTTCTGGAGTGAACAGTGGCTTCTAAATGCCAGTCCACAATACAACAGTAGAATAAAAGGAGCAGTCAGAAAATCGCCGATGTCGTTTCCTTTTTGCATGTTTCAGAGATTAAGAAACATTACTGCGAAGTGATATTTCGGGAAATAACCGAAAAACATTTAGAAATTATGGACGCAGTAATTGGTTGTATTTGTCGTTTAAGGTAAATTCAGAAATACTCAATTATTAGTCAAAATTGTATAGTTCAATGTAAGCAATGAAGTTTGCGCGAAAGTGTCTGCATCTGAAGAAGCTGTGGCATGGGAAAACTACACTTGACAACGCGTATCGTGCTTTCCGTAGTGAAGCCAAAAAATGTTTTTCTCTATATGTGTTATCCTTCGGAGCTCAAAGCATAGATTAAGAACCAAGCTTACAGCTGCAACAAAACCTCACATGTCATTAATATTTTTCTCATACGTTCTCAAATACTTTAAATTATTAATTAAATGACTATTAACCACTTGGGAACCTTATATTACCCATACAAAATTACACATGTCTAATATGCATGTTATTATTTTCAAAGACGTAAGCTTGCCTATAACGCAAGTTCCTTATTCAGAATTACATTCGAATTACTGCCCGGTTATAGTGTTGTTCAAAACTTCAATCTTTAATACCAGCACCATCATACAGAATCACTTCATATGTATAAATTAGTCAAAATTCAACGAAGACTTGATTAGGAATAATTATTTTCCAAAAGAACTAGATTATTTTTCATTAATAGATAATGAATGGAACAAATTTACTAAAGATCAGACCATTCATAGAACAATAAAACAATTCCACACTCCTTTTAAATTACTATTTAAGCGTTCTAGTTTGTCTCTATTAAAGAAAATATTAAATTTAATTAAATAAAAACATAAAAAATATTTTGAAAAATAATTAAACCTATTAAAAGAAAAGTGTTAAAAAACTTGCTAAAACATTAAAATCACACCTAGAACTAATCAGATTTAACTAATACAGAAATTGCATTGCTTAAATTCTTCCTAGTAGTCATATACGGTCAAGAGTGCAGAGACTCACCATAGAAAAATCAATTGTTTTAAAACTAGTCACCTTTCTGTAAACTCGGTCTTCGAGAAAATTTTTATTATTGATGCAGATCAGCATATATACCTTCCATTTACCCCAAATCCAACTATAAATTCCTAATTCAACAATAACCATTACTGAAAAAGAGACATACCTCATGGCCCCTTTTCTTTATTAAAAACCTGGTCTCATCTTTTGTCATGTCCCACTGGGGAAATTGCTTACTACAACAACGAGAACATGACGAACCACAATACGAACTCGCAAGCGAAATGGCGTTTAATATCCTCTAACAACACTTTTAAGACCTCGTTGATGTTCCGGTACTAGTTTCCAAGTTGAAATCGAGGCCCCGGCCTTTGCTATAATCGTAAAACAACCTTGATTCTGAGCAACGTCGAATTTCTAATGATGTTTATACTTTTTTTCAAATAGTTTGTGAGGAAAAAGCCAAAGGTGAATACATAGGGGAAACATTTCTTTGAGATGCTTCGACAGGAAATATAGTTGTCTATGGGGTGTCCGAGAAACCTTACAGATGATGATCACAACGAAAAGGGATGACTTACGAATGACAAGCCAGAAGTGCACAAGTACGAATGACACTCAGTCGTGAAGAGAGACAGAAATGAATCGATCGAGAAGAACGGGCGTTGCAATTGGGGAAAGGATGAAATGAGATATCGTCTAATTGTACTTAAATTTTGTAACGACTAGCAGAAAGAAGTAAATCAAAATCACTTTTTTTGTACAAAATACGTTACAGAACATTACTAACGTATAGAATATTATTAATATATGAATTTTGTCACAACAATTGCAATTTTTATCATTCATTTCTATTTTTTTAATGTTTTCACTATGTGTATGTTGAAAGCAATTCGGTGTGATTTTTATGAACAATTGTTTAAAGTAATAAAAAATATAAATAGAATTAAATTGAAAATAACACATCACCGCAACATTTATACGCATATGTTTATTGAAAACAATGTTTCATTTTAAAATACTAGTTTACCTGGTTTACACTGAAGTAATCATCATACATCAATTAGTTCAATTAAAATAATAACTTAAAAACTAAACTAAAATAGAAACTAGAAATGTCATGTTTACAAGGTACATTACTACATGAATTTAACGGCTAGTTAGGGCAATTTTAATCGAAATATGAGCCCCACAAGAATTTTAAAATAGTATCATACATTCGTAGAGTACCTGTTCAAATGGAGCAACATAATTCCATCATAGCAAATTTTCAGGAAACGAAAAAACAGGGTAATGAAGCTGTATGATTAGCCCATTTAAACAGAATTAGAAATTATTTAGTGTATTTAAACAAGAAATGAACATTACTACACATCACTTTCGAAAGTATTCACATACTGCAGTCGTATGATGGTAATAGTAGTTACCTTTGTGAGTGGGTATAGCTCAATTTGAACAGACGCCTCATTTAAGAAAATAAGTAATAGTACAAACAATCAGTACGCGTGCAATGACGAATAATACAAGTACACCTTCGTTTCGATCGCGCATTTCTTTTGAGGAAGATGAGATGCTTTCCATCAGGGCACTGCGTGTGGAGAGGGAATCAGAAGTCGCGACGACAGGTCACGCGAGGTCTCCAGGACAACGAGGGGGCGTGGCTTCGCGAGCGAAGGTGGGTACGAGGAGGCGGCCGTGGCATAGAGTTCTCGCACGCACCTTCGCTGGGGAGCGCCACTGCATCAGGGGGCAGCCGAAGAGGTGGATTCCTGGGACGGACTGCTCAAGCCGGAGTGAGAGGAGACACAGAAGGCGGAGGGAATAAACGTGTTTTGGATGTCTGATGGTTAGCTGGATACTTGAATTATGTTGACATTACTTTTGCCCGTATTTAGCGTTGACAAGCATTAATTAATAGATTTTTATTATAACCAAATTCCACATTTCAGTGAGATAGTTGATTCGGGTATGTAAAAATGTAGAGGTAAATAAATCCCCTAAAGGTAATTTTAATTTTATTTATTCTATCTTCGCTTCTCTGACTATATCATGTTACATACTCGCTGGCTGAAGGCAACGCAGTGTCAACTACTTTCAATATAGCGATTGCAAGCCGCAAATTTAACAAAGGACCGCAGACAATAGTACTACTATTCTACTAATTTTGAGATAGTATTAAAATGTTACAGTTAATACTATAAAACCCGTTAATCACAGCCAAAGTCTGAAACACATCTAAGGTTCATTACTTTGCATTTAAAGAAAAGCTCAAAAAATTTGTTTGAGTAGAAAATTCAAATTTCGCTTATATTTTATTCTGAGTTACTTATCTACCGTAAATTGTCTATCACCTCACCAGTTACTTTTAGTTCTATTGTTTCTTAAGTGTTTGGAAGAAAATAAGTAAAGTTAAACTAAACAATATGTTTAAGAGATATTAAAACAAAATTCTGGTCTGTGTAATAAACAGAAACAAAAAAGATCTATTGAAAAAATCCTTCTTATCAATTAATATCTTATAAACAGTTTAATAATTAGTTCAATCAATAGAAAATAACAAAATAAATATTTTTCTAAATACGTACTATTTTACAAAATACGTATCTAAGTACGTAAATACTTTTACTACATATCGATTTATCTTTTACTCATGCTCTTGAATATTTTTAAAAAAAGTCTTCTAAAAAATCGAAATGATCGTAGACGTGATAATGAAGAAAACGTACATATTGGCGATTTTAATTTATTTCAGTGCACATTTTCTGATAAAAAATGTTTTGTCTTTAATTTCATCAGAAGAAATAACATTGCAGATTAGTGGATTACAGTTTTTTCGTTGTAAATTAATGTTTTCATCAATGGATTCATTATGAATCGTACATTCTCAGAAATATACTAAACTGAGTTAATATATTTTAAAGCGAGTTGTTTTACATCAGCTTATTGCTGTGATTGAACGTGTTCAATCTTTTAACTTTTCAAGCTTGAATTATTCTGGCCTAACACGCTGTTATAGTTAAGCTCGTAAGCAAGTGATAGTTAAGCTCGTATACTAAGTAAATTGGCCTTGAAATTTAGAAAAGATCCTGTATTATTAACCGAGGCAGCGAGACGCGTTGACAAGTTGCACTTGTTCACTTCTTACGATATGAATTTTACAGGCTGAATTAAAATCTGGATAAC